TTAATACAACATTTAGAAAAAATGTGTTACTTCTTGTGAGATTATGAAATAGGATCTCTGGTCTTTTTATTTATTTAATTGTTTTTTTTCAGACCTGCAAGTCTGTTGCTCATGTAAGCACAGGCAGCACAGAATCATGGGATCACTTGCAAGTTGAACGTGGAACAATCAGGGGAATTCTAATGTTGGTCATCATTGTGGTACTCAGAGAGCTCAGTGTTTTCTCAGGTGGTACAGAGTATAAAAAGTTTGAGAACCACTGCTCTATGCCATGTTCCCTCAGCACTCTGGGATCTACAGCAATGACATTGGAATATTGTCTGGGTGAGACAAATTTAGCAAATGTTTTTCAAACCCCATTTTGGATCACCTGGAATTCAAATGGGGTCGTTTAAAATATCTAGTTATTGATGAATAATAAATAAATACTACAGGGTGGGCCAGAAAGATTTACCCATCGTTTTTTCCGCACTATTCAAAAATGCTTGCAGACAAACATAAACATCGAACACAGTTTTTATACTTTATTCTCAGCCACCAAAAAGATTTACATCTCAATATGGCCACAAGATCAGGGCCGTGTCTTGTATTTCTCACCTAGGGCTTTAGTGGCGTCTTGCCAGAATAAATCCACATTTTAATAACATCTTTATGTCGATAGAAACCATCAGTATTGTGCAGAAATGTAGTATAACTAGTTGTTACATTAAGGACAACTCATGTAGCCATAAAAATGCCATTACTAGAGCAACAAACCCACAAAGCACAATTCGGCCACAGCTGTGACATAAATGAAAACATCAAAAATAACATATAAAAATAAAATAACATAACAATAAAAAAGAATATTTTTAAGACAAAATGTATTTACTCACCAACCTTGATTAACTGGGTATGTTATGTCCCCTGACATGAAGTCAGCTTAGTTGTATGCCACAAGTGCAGCTGTACAAGCACTGGAAGAATGATCATTTAACTCTGATAATCTCAACATGTTGAGTCAAGACATAGCGGGGCAGTTTCTTTGTGCAAGGCCAAAACAAAAGTTTTCTTTTTTGAGGAACCAGTCTGTTGAACTGATACAAAACAGTTCTACATTTCTATGAGAGCCATGCATTTTATTTTGCTCTGAAAATAACTAAAGGTGTGAATAGTATAATAAATATTAAAAATGTTATTACAATTTAAAAAATAATAAAAATAAATAATAGTTATACTATCCAATGCATAAAAGACTTCTTACCACTAATACCCCATGTGACAAACTGTATTTTGTAAATGTGGGCTATATAAATAAAATTTGATTGATTTGATTGATAATACGACTTCTGGTGCTTCATAGTTTTGATGCGATTGGCTCCAGAGCAAAAAAACTAATGTATGGATTCAAATGTGTAACGGCGTCATAAATATATGGTTGCACTTGCCATGAAAAACACACCATGTAGGAAAAATCTTAATTGTGTAACACCCCTGCTGATTAGAGTTGTGAACGCTGGAGAGCAACAGTCGGGCTCTTCTGTTCTTGGTAGGTTCACATGTCAGGAGGTCTGTCATTCATGTATTTTATTATTTTAATTTTATTTATTAATATCAACTGTACTTTTATTTATTCAATATTTTTAGATGTGTGTGTTGCCACAAAATGAACTGACTTTGTTTTCACTTTTCATGCCAGAAATAAAAGGTGATGTATCAACCACAATTATTTAACGCAACGCAAAGAAAGTACGCTGTCACCCAAAATGCACGTGAATGTTTTTTTATATATGAATATATATATATGAATTCTGTAATGTTTTACTTTAACTTCAAAGGAATTATTTATTACTTATTTTCTTATGAAATTCCAGCTAAGATTTATCTGACAGCAAGATGCAGTCATCAGAATAGCTCACGAGCCATAACCTAAAGAGTTTCAGAACCTGTGACTTATTTTCCAATATATTTATCATCAATATATTTATATAATATCAAGTTTTTTATCCAATCATATTTCAGCCTCATGTGTTGCCATGGTGACAGAAATTTGTCCAAAGGTCTTTAGAATCAGCTTTGCTGGAGCCTGGAATTTTTTTCAAACAATGAGATTGGCGTTAGCCACACCAATGCCGTCAGTGATTTGATTGAATGGTCAAAGAACACACTGTCTCGAATCTAAGAAACTGAATCTGTAGCTTAATGCGAAGGTTTTCTCTGCATTCACTGCTTCCGCCAAGCAGACAGTCTCAGTCTGAAGTAGACTACAACTTATGCCATATATACAACAGGACAGACTGGACTTTCAGCATTAGAAGGGGTGCAGAAAAGGACTTGTTAGAACTCCACTCACTGATAATTTGAAAATCTGAGTAATTTAACTCATCTCAAGGAAAAAGAGAAGGACGCAGTAATAATTTTGGTGAGTAAAAAGCATTTTGGCCTTTTAATAATATTATAATTGTATTATGTTTTGTGTATTTGTTGCTTCAGTAATGGAAGCGTCTTCTAAGCAAAGAAGTTGAGACAGACCACGGAGTGAAAACAATATAAGTAGACTAAAAGAGTCTGTGAGCACAAGTTTCACTAAGATGGATTCGGATCCTCTGCACTTTGACGCAACTGTACGTGATCCGTGTTATAAAGATCATTGCTTGGATGTGGGAATAAAGCAGCATGCGTGAGAAATGATCCAGCAATTGACTTAAATGCACTTTGTGTTTTTATGAGAGGTAAGTTTATTTTACAATCTTTCAGCAGGCCACTAGGCCTGTACATTATCATTTAAAAAGAAGATATTGAATACAGAAGATATTGAAAGTATCCATTCACTGAAACTTAAAAAATACATGTTCACCTTCAAATCTTTCTACATTAGCTTATAGTGAACTCTTGACATGTCTTCACTGACCAGTGTCGCTGCACGTCTGCACCGGCCACATATAAACAAACAGAAGTCACCACCTCACCCTGACTCCACAATACATCACGTTTTGGAGGTTTAAGAACACGTCTGGCTTAATTTGAAAGAATTTGTGTATTTTTTTTTTTACCTTCACATGATTCCAAGCCTCTGTATGAATGTGTAGTATACCGTTACAAACACAATGACCCATGAGAAGGAAACAATTTGAGCTATAAATAGCAAGGTCATCAGATGTCAATGGAAAAACTGACACCAGCGACAGAGGACAATAAGTCTGTAATCGAGGGGCTAATAAAATTAGTCATGTTTCTTATTGTATGTTTACAAGAATAAACTAAAGAATTAACTGATGAGTATAAAGTTGTAAATTTACAAGATTAAAGTAACAAGTTTATGAGAACAAAATCATCGCTCAGCTGCTGGAGGGAGAGCATTGGAGTGATGACGCAGGTGGAGCACCTTAGTTAAACAGGCCTCCCCATATATTCATAGGATCCGGCATCTAGACTGTTAAATGTTACCTGTGTCTGTTGTCAAGGGTGAACCTACCTGTTACAGCCATATCTTTACACCAATAAATTAATTAATTTATGAAAAAAGTTTACAAGATGAAAGCAGTAAGTTTTGATTTAGGGGGAGATATTGTCCTTAAAGTTATGCTTGGGATACACACACTAAGAACTGTTGTCCGATTTTGCCGTTATTTAGCGTTGTGCTATTTCTTTTATTTATTTTTTTATTCCATAAATCACCAACTAAAAAAAGTAGTTAGAACAGCAACGGTACCATCATTAAGAACAAGGAAGCAATACAAGAAGCTAAGGTTACCAAAGGAATGACTGTGATCACCAAGGAAAGGTGTCAGACATTAAAAGATTTTTATTGTATATGCAAGTAAGGGAAAAAAGACCGGATCATGTGGAGGAGGATTTAAAATAAAGCGTCTCAAAAATGCCTCAATGTGCAAGTTTTTCTCACCCAAAATTTACATCCAGTTATGCATTTTTGCTAGTAAATGAAAAATCACAGTTTAATATATTAAAAGTTAACAAAAAACTATAATAAACTTTATTTAAAAATTATTGTTTTTTATGATGATTTTGGTTGATTTGGTAGCATGTTTCTCTCACGAGACCTGGTAGATCGTATAATTTTTATTTAAAAATGTAACTACGTATCTTGGCGTCCAGGCCGAATGCCCGAGTCTTTTATTTTGAAGGTTTCACTTATAGGCGTTGACTAAAGCCTCTTGTGACGCTTTTTGGTCCTGAGTCATGTGTTTATTTTGTGAAACTGTCAGATGAGCGATGGTGGGGAAGCTGGAGAGAGCTGCTTATGTACACTGACCCACCCTGCACAGAGGAACTGAGCGGAGCAGCTGGACCTTCTGCACTTTCAGGGACTGGAACCAAGCGACCAGAACTGATACGACATTGGTTTTCAATGTCTGTGGAATATTATTTTAAAAGCCCAGCATGACTTCTGTGTGGAAGAGGCTTCAGCGTGTCGGAAAGAAAGCGGCCAAGTTTCAGTTTGCTGCGTCCTTTCAGGAGCTCACCATTGAGTGCACACAAAAATGGTACGCAATTCTAATACCATATTTTTATGGTATATATTATCTTAGAATCTTAATAGTTATATATTTTTATCCACATATCTGTCTGTGATGATGATTCAATAACCCGTATATAAGAGACTCGAATTATAGGTTGCGCCACAACTTATTCAACCTCAATCATGTTAACGTTTAACTAATATTTTAACTATTCTCCTAACGACATGGAAATAAAGAAAACAAAATGGCTCCACTGGGATGTCTTCATGTTTCAATACATAATTATTACCAGTTTTAATGTGTTCTCAATACTTTTCCATATTACCGATATGCGACAAGGCTAACAACCTATACCATTTTATTGTTTCTTGCGTGTTTCCTGGTTATTAACATTAGCAATAGCGTATTCATCCTGCTGTGTTGATATCTTTCTTCTCATCTTCTCGTTACTTCCGCTTTTGCTTATATTCGTGCGTCACGTCTCAGATGAACCATCTGTTCTGTGGGATAGGGTGAGGTGAGCTGTGTATGGGAGGAGGAGGAGGGGGAGGGTTCAGCTCACTTGTTGCGGAGAACTTGTCTCTGTCCATCAGGCGCAGAGAGGATGGACCAGGAGGATGATGCAGTTTTTCTTCGCATATGCAGCAAAGGTTGTGGCCAACGTTTCTTAAGGAATTATGTCATTGACTCCCACCCCACTATTAACACTCATTACAACGCACTAAACCGACGCTGATCAGGGCCTGATAGGACACTTTTTGGTATTTGCAGATGTCCACTTTATCCAAAATCAAAACAAGTGTGGTGATTTTAAGCTGTAAGTTTGTGATTTGAAACTTAATTTGAAATCTCTAAAATAAAAATACATTGACAGTACATTAGTTGATATTCAGAAATATATGGATTATTAATTATGGTGCGTTCTGTTAAGTCACTGTATTAATACTCCCACCTTACCCACAACAAACAAAAGTAATGAAATTGAAATATTTTAAACAAACGAAAAAGTAGAGTATACTGTACTCATATATTTGCTGTACTCCCCTACACCAGTTAGAACTGAAGAAGCCTCTTGGATGAGAGGTGAAACGTCTTCTTTTAGACATCCACTTGCCTAACTGTGTGATAATTGTGGTGTAGGAATTTTACCTTTGAATCACATATGGAGAGAGAAGTGGGGCAAGTTTGTTGGAATACATTAGAAGATTTTTTGACGAGTTTATGTTTAACCCTCCAAGAATATATTTAATTTTGTCATTTTTTAAAAACGTCGTGTGAGACTGCCAAGCCAACTTCCGTTCCATCACTATTCTTCTTGCTAATGAAGTAACAGAAGCTCTTTGGGGCTTAGGTGTGGCTGCCAAGATTTAGGGTTATGAATCAGTATAAAAGGCTTAGTTTAACGTGCCAAATATTGACATCTGGAATTCTCAAAAACTTTGAGCAAAAATCTAACATGTAAGATTGGACTGTCTGAGAATATTTGTGTTTATGAAGTTTTACATCTTTATCTTGATAACATATGGTAAAGAACTTTTCAAGTTGAACAGTACGCATGAGGAGGTTCCATTTACCCATTCTGTCTTCTTGCCAAGTACTGGCACGTGTTGCAGATTTGAATTGTTATTAGAGTAGAAGACATTCAGCTTTGTTTAACAGTACAACTTTAAGACCATGTGAAACAATGACCATGTGACTCAGCACTCCAGCCTCCACTGAATAATTACAGATGCTATATAAATGATGTATGCACTTGTCACACTCCAGTCCATACTGAATTGCCAATTTGTTCCATGTTTGTGCAACTATGCGACGACTTACTGTATGTCGGAGCTGCTGCTTTAACGCATAAACTAAGCTTAAAATTAAAATGTTAAAAATAAATATAGATAATGCACAGAAAGTGATATGTTTAGTGTATTGATTAAACATATATTTAATTAGGAGAATCGCTTAATTTCAGTTTGAGGCATTAATAAAAGAAGAAACTCTATCTCTATTGACATCTTGTTACAGGAATCATGTGAAATAAGTTAAATTCTTATTTTTATTTTTTTAATATTTTTGCAATTTTTGTCAATAGGAATGCACCGAATATTTGGCCACCAAACATTTTCAGCCAAAAATGGCCCAAATGTGCTTACTGGTTTTAGGCCAAAAGGCTTTTATTAACTCGGCTGAAAAACCAAGATGTGATGACACCAGCAAAAAAACACGTTATAAAGATTGTTACTTGGGTGTGGAAATAAAGCAGTGCACATGAGAAATGATCAGGGCCCCAAGGATGCAGAAAACCTGCTTAGAGAGAGAAACACACAGCGAAGGAGAAGGAGGCCAGAGTGCAGGAATTGCGACTTACAGTGATCATTATTTTTGGTACACTATTATGTTGTAGGCCTACAGAGAAAATATATTTATGTCTTTTTAAGCAGTTGCACTTCATGTTTTCATGAGAGACCATATTTTATTTTGCAATCTTTCAGCTGACCAGTAGGCCTGTTAATTAGTTATTATTATTTAATCTACACATGTGTAGTATTAAGTTAAACATTTTACTGTATAAATAATAAAATAAAATAATGTGTAGTATTAAGTTAAACATTTTACTTAAAATTGTATTTTAAATAACTACAGTGGAACCTGTCTCTAATCATTTTTTCCCATTAGAAATAACAGGGGAAAAAAAATCTGTTCTGGCCACTTATTAGTGCTAATAACAATGGAAAAAAACATGTTTTTATTTGCTATAGAGACATACACGTGCATCATACATACATGCTCAATCGCTCACTACTATCCTTACCACTCACTTTCTTAGGACTCATCAGTATTATGAAGAATAATATGCACAAAATAGAGAGAAATCACGGAACCGATGCTTACGCAAGTCGCCGAACACGTGAAGTGAATGAGTGAAGCGGCATGGGCTGTTCCGAGTGCTTGGCCACCTAGCGTTGGCGTCTGTAAGCGTGTTTGTATCTCAAATCTTTACTGGTATCTCGAAGAAATAAATTTACTCGAGGGCTTACTCATAGCTGAAATACTCGTATGTTGAGGCGCTCGTATCTCGAGGTTTCACTGTATATATATAGTGTATTGTTGGAATGTGCTAAATAAATATTTTCATAATTGTGTAATTGGTTTATTCTTTGATACATTAATATTGATTTTTGTAATTACAATGCCTTGTTTTTAGTAAGAAGTTAGTACACAGTTATAGCTCTAAATGCAGATGAACTTTGTATGCTGAATGAAAGTGACACACATGTCCCAGTGGTGACACCATGAGACAGCAGGCGAGCCTTAGCCAAGGCCACATTGATGGGCTTGTGACCTTGAGACCTAAAAACAAAAATTCTAACAGGGCACGGCTGTCATTTTGACTAGGCTTACAAACTTGTGCCTGTTTTTCAACCTATATTTAGCTGAGGTACCTGTTGTGAAGGAAATACTTGCTTGTCTGTGTAAATTCTGTGTAAAAACTGTATGGTTTTTCATGACCAAAAAAAAAAAAAAACAACAAACAAACCCAATGATGACGTAAATACATATTTTTAATTTTCTTCAAAACCTCAGTATTTGCAAATTTTGGATAAGATTAGATAGAACTTAATTACTCCCTTGGGAATTCCCTTTGGAAAAAGATTAATGGTTATTTGTTAATAAATTAGATTTTTTTTTCTCTCCATTTCTTCTAGCACCAAAAAAAAAAAAAAAGCTGAACTGTGAACTGCATGCCTGCTGTGTTCCTTAGCTAACAGCTTCAGAATTGGACACTTCCTTTAATTCCGTTATCATTACTCACTGAATAGTCAGCATGTGTTTCCACTCTTCACGCTCTGACTGTTAAGGTCTCTGTTTAGTGACCTATATTTTTCTCTCACTGTTATCCTTGACTGCATTACACAATGAGTCACCTCTGCTTGTTTATGTCAATTTGTGCAATAGTCTACATAGTATAAAAATTTGAGTTTACCGATGTTTGGAAAATCAGAAGAAACAAACAGATTGCTTTTACTGACCAGTGCTTAGGCACTTTTAAATAAATGCACATTTCTTTTTATTAAAAAAAATAGTTCATAGCAATAGTTCATATAAGTTCATATATATAGTCCGTCGCTCATGTTGAAGGGACTTAACAGCTGACGTCATCCACTTTACTAGGGTGGAGATTGGAGCTGTGCCCAAGACGTATCATATTAAATGATTATAGAACATGGAAAGCATTATTACTGTGTCTAATCCAAAGAACAGTTACTTCCTTGAGTTTTTTTTATTATTATTATATTCAGCTTTCTTTTAATGCAGAGAACAGATAGTGTTGTGTGAATACATAAGGGCATTAACAGAAAAAAACATTTTGTCGATACAGTGACGTCGTCTGGCAGGAGTGAAAAAGTCCTGTTTTTTTCTTCTGCATGCACTGAAACACGCCGATTTTGGCTTATGTTAATACTTTATCCTGGACTTAACCATTAGTCATAATCACTTCATAAAATATACCAACCCACACCATTGAGAGCTGATGGAACAACGAATTGCTTTGTCATCTCTATTAGCAAACTTTTCAAAAGTGAGTTACATGCTCATTTTCTCGTCTGTTTATTTCAAGGTGATGACAGACTAAAACGACTTGACTACTCGACTTTGACTTTATTTTCACATTAGTCAACACGAAAATCAGTGCCATAGCATGTTTGTTTATATTTATTTATTCTTTTTAAGTTTAAGGCTATTTTTTTAAAAGGCAAGCATCACTCTTCAATCACATCTTCTCCTTAAAGACTCACCAATATGTAAAAGCTAGTTCAATATTTACTCCTTTTGAATAAGATCCGTCACCTTTGTGGTTGGCCTCACTATACTTTCAGCCGGCAGAGGCTGCTGAGATTTATAACCACCACCAGCTGACTCACACCAGGGACAGTTGAGCTGAAGTGCCAATTGTCCCCCTCCCCTATTGCCCTTGTCCTACACTCACTTAACCTCAAAGGCAAGCAACAGAATGCCTGTTTGCCTCCGACACATAAGTCAATGACAGTTGTTAATACGCAGGATTTTAAAAATTCCTGCTACAACCCTTAAAAGCCCCATTTCCTTTAAAAACAAAAATGAAAATCAAGTTTGTTTATAATTTGCAAGCTTTATACACATGCTCTTTGGCTTTTTTGAATGTCCATTACTATTTACCACAGGGACCAAAGTTGTACTTGGTGGCTCCGTTTAAATATTCAATTTTTTTTGCACCGGATGTGTGTAAATGCCTAGTATCTGGAGGCTAATTAGTCGTATTGTATCGCAGCCGTGTAACTGGCCCAGAACAGCCAAAAAGCCTCGCGTAGTAGTAGTAAGTTGTTCCTCCTGGCTGCTGTCTGACTGTAGAGTTCAAAATGACAAGCCAATATTTCTATTAATATAGCACTATGCTATGTCTTATTTTTCTTGTACTGTGTGCTGTACTTCGCTGCTTGAAACACTGCAAATTCCCCCTCTGTAGGACGAATAAAGGACTTGAACTTATCTTAAAATAGCAGAAGCCGAAACACAGTAAGACTGCACTGAGTCATTGCTGTTAAGTGGTGTAGAAGGTGTCACGCTGCTGTCAAGCCTTTCAAAGGGTCAGTGCTGCCATTTGGATGGTCATGTCTGTCTCCTACTGTTTTACTCTGTCTGTTTTTCATAGCCATTCACATTCTCATTCTCATTATTTAAAACACTTAGGATTTCTTGTATGATGCCTTTTTATATGAAAAATACCACAAACAAAAAGAGAAAGTACATAACTGAATACCTTTACAAATCCTTCTCAATGAATCGATCTAGCAATCAGTCAATCACTCTAATCTCTGAACCAATTGTTTCCACTATTCTTTTTCATTTCAGGCAGCCAGACAAAGTAAGAGTGGTATGGATCAGAAGGAACCGGCGTCACAGCACAAAGGTGACAACACAAAAAAGAGACTATTTGATATTTCTTTTAAAACCCTCATTAGGTGGTGTCACAGTTATATTAGAAGATTCATTACAAAAAATGGTCGTCTAACTACACTATGATACTACAGTGCCAAAAGTTCTAAACAATATATTACAATTATTCTAATATTTAAAAAAGTACATGAAGGAGAAGACGTAGCCAGAAGTAGTCTGGATTTTGAGACCCTTGTTTTAAAGGTTTACAGTAGGGATGTCCTATATAAATGGCCGATATCAGATATGCTGATATTGTCCAAACACCAATACTGATATAGTGGGGCAATGGTGGAAGTTAAGTGTTGCCTGCTCACTAAGGTGATGGGTGAAAACAGTGTTTCTCAATTATTTTCTGCCCCCTAGGGGACAGAATTAAAATACTATTGAGTGCCTGGTAATATTTATAGTTGCTGGCACCAGCATTCTGCATAGTATCCCCCGATTATCAATATAGAGTAATAAAATAAGCTACAATGCTGCCATCTAGTGATTAGAGAGATGATTTTATCCTTCATAATGTTCTGTTTTCATGTGTTATGAAGGAGTTAATTATGGGTATTTAAGGGGGCGTGAGGAGGTTTGGTGAGAGCGCGTGTGTATGAGAAGAGAGAGTGTGAGAGGAGGAAAAAGCGTTTTAGGAGAAGCTGGGGTCTTGCACTATTTTTAGAGCTCACATTATTTGGCCAATCCCAGACAGGCAGGCGTGGTCATGTTTTCATTATCGGAGAAAAAAAATTGATAACAATTATTACAGATATTACAAAATATGCTAATATCGGGCCGATAATATTGGTTGACCAATATTATTGGACATTCCTAGTTTACAGACTTAAATGTAAAGATATATGTCCTGGATTTTGACTTTCCCTTGGTAATATGTTACAGTTATGTAGAGGCTAAAAGAAGGTTCGGAAACAGGTCTGGTAGCATTACTAAGACTGACTTTTCTGCTTTTTTTACTGGTTATTGCAGCTCCACAGTTGGCAACCAGGGATTGGAAATTCTTACAGAGGCCTGGTGCTTTGGCAGGTTCCAGAGAGTTTGGACATCACTGTCACACTTTTTAAGGTAACTTTGAAGTTCTAACACCTTAAAAAATCTGAGTTGATAAAATCAATTTAAGTGAACACACATGCTGTCCACTCATTGCATACAAGAACTGATTTGATCTGCACTGTCACTGAAACTGAAAGTTCAAAGGGACACGTGATCAGCTTTCTAGGCACTGAAAGCTGTAAAACCATGTATTTCCTCCAAGGAAATCAGATTTTGTTTTTCTAACTTTTTTGTACATATCGTGTTATAAAAAGCTGAAACATTAAAGAAGACTCATCCAAAAAACCTCTGTAACTACTAAGGATGGCTTGATACAACTTTCTTGACTCAACTTATATTTCAATACATTCTTTTCTCCTCCCTGCCATTGCTGAGGTGATAGTGTTCCTGTTTACAGCATGTCGTGCAAAGTTAAGTGTTAAGGTTTTGGTGTTGGATCAGATATGTTATAGCTGGTTTTTTTTGTGTGAAATTTTGACCAATATCTGGCTGATACCAATCCTGAGCATTGGACCGAACCATTCTTAGTAACCAGTAGGAATTAGAATCTCTGGGTAGTAAGAAATCATCGAGTACACTTCAGTTCCTCTTGTGTTCACACTAACACTTCAAACATCACCTGAACCAGGTTTTAAAACATATTTCATTTATAGGAACCCACTGCTGAGGAGTTTGAGGACAAAGACTGGACGTTTGTAATTGAAAATGTGAGTCTGTGAATCAATTACCTTTGGTTTAATGTAAAACTACCCTAATATCCGGACTATTGAGCGCACCGGAATATAAGCCGCACCCACTAAATTTAAAAAGAATTAAATAAATGCTTTTTTTCCGAACAGTGCCTGTAACACGGTTGGTTACACGTTAGCTCTTCCCTGCTTCGGCACCCCGACTGTGGTTGGAATGCACAGGGGAGCGTTAGTGATCTGCTGCAGGGCTGAAGCTAACATTAGCTCTGGGGCTAACTCCCTTCATTTTGTGCTTGTCCACAGCAGAGGTAAACAGAAACAGGGAAGATGGTGTCTTTATTATCAGCCACACCGACCACAACAGAACATAAACAGTGTTTTAACACTTCCTGTATAACCAACTCACTCTTCAACATGACAGGGCTCAAACTGCTCTCAACTTTCACTTCCGTTCTCTCTCTCACTCGCCTCGGGCACATATATGCACACAGTCATTCACAGACAGACATACGCTACTACTATAACACACAGTAGTCTACCAGAAAAGTCACTGATTGCTATTGGTATGAATTTGGTTAGCCCGTAAAAATCCACAAAGTAGAACACATCATTGTTTAAGCTGCAGGGTTCAAAGCATGTGAAAAAAGTAGAGGCTTATATTCCGGAAATGTTGGTAATTTGTGAGACCCAGAAAAAAAATACACTGAATTCAGCAATAGATTCAAACTTACCCATCATGCATCCTTTATCAGGAGAGTAAAGGGCGTCGTAAAGTGTTGGCCTCAGCTGATGTCAATATGAAGAAATACGCCAGTGCCACGCCAGCCCAGTATAATATCACACTCAAGCTAAAACCACTTTCAGTCAAAGTGGTGGACGCCACGCTAAAAATCAGCTTGTCTTGTGTCTTTCTCAAAGAAGGAAAAGCCACGTAAGTCCATGATAAATCTGTTTAACTTTTGCTGAAATTTCAAATTTGATCATTTAATTCTCATAACATTTGTAGGAAAAAAAATCAATTATTTAATTATTGTCCTTTTGTCCCCACAGGGATGAAGACATGCAGAGTCTAGCCAGTCTGATGAGTATGAAACAGAGTGACATCGGAAATCTGGATGATTTTAATGAAAGTGATGATGAAGCAACAGAGGAGCGAAGATCCAGCCTCGGACCTGCACATCCTCATATCACTGGTGAGATGAACGACACACATCTGGAGGATTACATTTTTATTCTTACATTTTTTTAGATTGTTTTATTTATTTTTTTATTTAAACATTTTCCATTTCTGTACAGATATATAAAACATGAACATAATAATAATAACACTTGAGTCCCTTATTTGCCCTATGGGCAAATTTACAGTTTGTCTCTTTGTAACTGACACAGCCCGCCATAGCAGGTACATGGTTGCAACTCATAGGCGGCCACACAGGAGGCACCACTAGGGATATGTGGTTTCTCTGTGAATCAAACCCAAAAAGAGCCATAAAGAGATATGAATTTGCATGCACCATTTATGTACCTACAGTACATTCTAACAATGATTAACCATGATAATATACTGTATTTTGAGGTAGATATGACACTACTGAGAGCGGACGCTGGCATGCATGTTGCCGCTGCTCTCTGGCCGTATGAGCTCATCTCCCTCCTTCTTAGTGTTTTCTCGGCTTTCACACCATCACTACCGACTTGCTTTCATGCAATTGTGCGACACTTAATCGGTTCCATTGTCCTAGTATATCCTGCTGTAACTCCAGCACTTTTGTTTGCAAGTGCT